TCCCTACAGCCTGTGCCACCAATTCCATGCTGCTGTTATGGGTTCTTTGTGGGATGAGGCAGGAAGCTATTACATCACTCTTAAAACCTCACTGCACTATCTTGTGTGATTTTATAGAGGGGCTGCTTCAATTCCTGTGTTCTTGTGACAGATTTGGAATTTTTAATTCCTTTCCTGGGTGACTGGAATTGTCTGAATAGCCACATGCTAAATGCAGTCAATTGCTGTCAGGGTTTCTGAAGCATAAAATTTCTGAATAATGACAATGTTATGAAAGCTTTGTTTGTACACACACAAACCACTGACATAACTATCCTGTCTAGTTACACATTTTGCCATGTTTGTCTGTCTCTGGTACCTCCCTGAAGCTCATAGCTTTTTCCTTTTTCATACATTTGGAGATTACGTAGACCTGTGAAGAAAAGTCAGGACAGAAATGTAGGCGTTTGCTTGCGGTAATGCACTTGTTGGTCTCAGGAATGTTTTTTCACGGCTGATCTCCTGGAAAGAATGGAAGAGGAATACCTGTTTGGCTTGAAATCTCCTTGGACGCCACAGGGTATTCACCAGTCTCTAAAAAGCTCATCGTATGTGGGGTTCCCAGAAGCACGAATGGCTCCAAAACGCTTGCTCAGTGTCACTGTGATTAATTTCCTGCAGCTCCTCATGTATGACCACAAGTGTAGAAACGCAACCATAGGCACAGTGGTGCCAGTGCTGCTGTGTGAATTAACATCAGATCAGTGAAATTCCTGGTTTAATCTGTCTGGTGATTGCGTGTCTGTACATGTGCCAGTTGTGTATACACAGAATTGTGTAGGGTTTGTTGGGTCTTGTATAACATATCTTACTGCAGCAGTAAAAGATAATTTTTTTTTGTTTAAAATAATAGTAACTATTTCAAGGTATGTTGCTTCTATCATTTGCATATTTTACAAGATAGCTTGTAATTTTTAAGGTTTTTTTGGATTTTAATCCTATTTCTATTAAAATAAAACCAAGGAAAAATATTTTCCAATTTTAACTTATTTTCCTTCTTTACTTTTTTTTCAAGATAACACTCTTCGCGTCAAATTAAGCATCTCAGGTCTTAGTAATCTATTCTCATTGCCAGATCTAACAATGCATTGAACTTGAAAGCTGTTTATGTATTTGGAATGCTAATTTCTTCAGCTCTAATTGTTGTTGTATTCCAAATTGCCTTTGCTCAGGCAATGGCTTTTGGGTAATGAGATGATTCCGAATTAATCTTGTATTCCAGCTGCAGAAACATTAGACTAGAGATGGGCAGTGTATATGAAGTTTTCACAGGTGGTGTGTATTTGTCCTTTATGCTTTCAATCTCATGATAAATAATGTGATTGTTAAAAACTTACTTTCATTATAATACCATTCATGTATTTGTGCAAAAATCTGTGGGCATTACGGATTAAATTAGTCAGGATTGTGACTTCCAAGAAGTCACACTTGCAGTGAATATCAGTGAATTTTCAAGCTTTTGTCCATATTAGTGACTTGATTGGTTGGGTGGCTATGCCTGCTGTTGCTAGTGAGATATTGTTATTTGAATATTATTGGAAACTTGGTAAAAGTTCAGTGGCTTACCTCCTCTTGGAATGTGGTGTCTTTGCCACAGAAGTCCAATTGGTAACTTTGAAATTTTTTTTAAACATGGAAAATTTACATTTTGCAGCAACAGTCAAGGTAGGAATGCATTATTTTGAAGATCGACGACTCTTTCACTAGCCAACCATGGTCGAATAGCTACTTGTTATGCAGTTTCTGTCACAAAGATAAATGCTGAGCATTTAGTTAGGAGATAAGCTTTTAAAATAGAAAATTAACTTACAGGTATGTACATATCCTGCAAGGCAGACTCCAAAATGGAAGGCAGTTTCATAGTACTGACTTTCTTCTCCAATCTCTCCTGTATTTTTCTGTATTTTATCTTTTCGCTTTCCCTCCATGTGGATGGCATGATTATAGTTGCCTCTCAGAAACCTTTATGTGGAAAAGGCTTGAGGTGTTTTTTGCAACTCTGTTTTCTGTCTAAGAAATCAAAATGGCAAACTTGTTTGTTTTTTCTTCTAATGGGCAAAATAATTTTGGTTAAAAAGAGTGACTTCAATCCTTTTGGTAAAAATTATCTAAAAAACCACTTAACCATTTTTCACAGAAGAGACTGAAATTTTTTTGAAACACCCTTTCTCCTGTTGAGCTACAAATGGGCATTTTACAAAAGAGGTGCCAGACAGACGAATCAATGTGGCCAAAACAAGTGCAAGCTAACATAGCTGTGGTTTGGCTGATTATGGTATTCCTCTCATCTTTTGTACATGAGGTAACCAAGTCTATATGTTAGATATCAGATTTATGGCTGGTAAAACAGAGTAACTTTGGTAAAATTATCAGTGAATTTTCAAACTTTTATCCATATTAGTGACTTGGTTGGGTGGGTGGCTATGCCTGCTGGTGATAAAGCTTCTGGACCGATCTGAAATGTTGGGATTATTACCAAATGTCTCATTCTTTCCCTGAGCCTTTGGAAAAAGTGATTGTAGTACTGGTAGTTCAAAGCTAAATCTGTGTGTCTTACTGTCAAGGTTGTGTTTGTGACAAAGACCATGACTTTTATTCTTTCTTAATAAAAATTCATGTCTTTCAGTCTTGCAGAGAGATTACTGAATGTGCCTGCCTACATTTGAACTGCTGTGCAGTTTGTTGAAAGTCAGAATATACCTTGTGTCCATCAAGATTCTGCTGAATAAAGATAAAACCCAGAAATTCCTGACAGTTTATTGTTTCTTTTTAAGTGCTCACTTTTTCAGCACTTAGTGCTCTTTTTTTTTTCCTTGACCAAGTAATTCAAAGATCATCAGATATGCTAATACAGAAAAAGTAAGGAAGGACAACCAGTAAATGAGGAGGGGAAATAATTGTATGTTGCCACGGTAGCCATTCCATTGAGCTGATCTTCAGCACTGAAATTAAGCTGCCAGAGAGATAACACAGTGTGATTGCTTCCAGTTTATTCTGTAATGAATCTGATGCTGCAGTCGAACAAGGAGGTCAGGCTACTGTGATAAAAGAAAGGGTATAAATGCTGTGTATAAGAAATCAAATAAGGACTCCTATATGAGAGAATAATGATGTTTATGGAGTTGTCACATTTATATATTCAAAAATATGTATTTATCAATATTACCTGAAGAGTGTGATGTGTATAATGTGACATGAGATGTTCTATCAGAGGAACCTGGACTTAGGCTCTCGACAGCATCTTGTCTCTCAGTCTCTGCTGCTGACCTATGTCAGTCAGCTGTGTCTCAGGCTAAGGAACTCACAGATCTTCAGCAGAAGTTGAAAGGTTGCTCATGCTTTAACAAGATTTTTTATTCTTTCATGAATGGCTAAACTGATTTTAGATAAATAGAAACTGTAATGGAAACACTGTGAAAAACATGCTTAAAGTTTCATGGGATAAAAGTAAATTTTACTACTTTATTTTCTTTCACTCAAGACCTAAGCTGCATTTCTCAAGAGGAACATTTACTCAGCCATGATTTCTGAATTTTCAGAACCCCCAAAGCCTGTTGCGTTGGCTTGGGTGCCTTTGAGCATTTACTTGGCCTAGCAGATGCAGAATTTTGTCTGATGGGATTTCAGCATGGTGGGATGAGCAGTCGGGAGGGAGGTTGATAAGCTTCACTGTGGTTGATGTATCATTAATACTTTCTGGTAAAACAAGGAAAATACTTCAGAGGCTCCCTCTGCATTCCTTCTGTATAGAAAAGTATAACATTGGAGGGAAAACGGGGGAATATGAGAGATTTAACAATACGTAAGGGTGTTGGGGCTCATGTGACTCACATCAAAGCTTCTCTTCTCCAGAGGCAGAAGGAAGGAGGATTCAGGCTTCTGGAATATATCTTATACCAAACTGGTGATGGTACAAAGTACACTGTTTTCCCTCATCAGTGATTTGGAGCACTGATAATAGAAAAAGTCAGTAACTTCTAGATTTCCGTGTCCAAATTCTACCTTATATCTGCCCCAAGGACTTAAAAAGTCAACATATTAAGAGCCAATCAGAACTAAAGAAAATCTTCCTTCTTGAACTAATCCCAGAATAGCATTTCATCAAGAAAGACTTCTCTGTCATGGAGCAAATGCAGATTCTCCAAAGATTGATGAGGATTTCTTTTTTCTTTCTCAAAAGGCCCAATTTGGTGTCAGCATCACAGTATAGCACTTCTCTTTGTCTTTCAGTCTGCGCAAGGCGGTGGCCACCGAACACTGCTCTATGGGCATGCGATCCTGCTGCGCCATTCCTACAGTGGCATGGTACGTCATGGGACTTGATAGCAGCAATGATTTCTTTTTTGTGTGAAAGTTACGTTTGAAAGTGTCCAGACTATTGCCATTTACAAATATCTGGAGAATTATTCCCATCAAAGAGGCATTTTACCTGTGGTTAATGGAAACCTTTGGGAAGGGTAGATGCTGGTCATATCTTGCTATATCTGGCTCCATAGTGATGAGTTCTCTGTCAGCCTATTTTGAGTTGGTGATTTCTCATTTTTTTTTTTCCTTTGGATGTTGCATATCACATAAGCTGCAACTTAATCTTCAGCTGGCATCTGGCTGGCAACCTGAACATATGCTGGGAGACTGGGTGGAAAAGGAAATTCCATCTTGCACATATTTTGGACAGAAGCCTTACTCTTCAGTTTCCTGGTGAATTATACAGGTTCCAAACTCCTGAACCGAGCTGAAGTTGGCTGCAATCAGCTCCTTTATTTCCACTCAGGATAACCTGGACAGACTGAGAAGTTATTTCAGAACATAGATATTTGTCAAGTCTCCTTGAGTGCCATTCTGTTTATCAGGTGTATATGTTCTCGATAGTATCTAGTGGGGATAATTTAAGAATAGTTAATGCTGTGTTATAAGGTTGATGTTTTTTTTATATTTCAGTGGATTATCAAACATGACCAGAACTAGTAAAATATGCTTTTCTCTTCTGATAGTATCTATGCTGCCTCTCTACATCTCGGTCTTCAATGGATAAGCTTGCATTTGATGTAGGATTGCAAGAGGACACAACAGGTAAACACTTGTTTGAAAGACAATGTAATGAAGAATAATTTCAGTCTAAAAATCAGAAGAGACCTATAAATACATATAAATAATGTAAAAATGAAGACTGTTTTAAGAACTAAAGAAACAAAACTTTAAATTTCTATGTCTTCCACATTTAGTATCTTTACATTTTCTAATAGATCATGTAATTTCTATGAGATATGAACAAATTATTAATATTTAAATATAAAATTATAGTATTGAATATAAGTAAAGGAATATTTCCAAGTTGTTATTCCTGTACAAGCCTTCTGCTGAAAATTTTTTATTAAACTTGTATTACTTTAAATAAAGATTCTAATAAAGTTTTAGAACTGCTGGTGTCTTGGATTTATTTGTATTTTTAAGGCTGATACAGCTTCTTAAAATGGCATCAGTTTGGTTTAATTGCTTAATTAGAAATAGTAAGTTTGCTTGTTTTTTAAAGCCTTGCTCTTGTTATGAGTAGTAACAGCAACAATTGGACAGTTCCAAGATCAAAGATATTTTTTTTTCTGAAAAGCATGCTTTTCATTCAAGAATTGTATCTGAAAGCAAAGTTTATAGTGGGAATGAAATTTATTACTTATGAATATTCTGGGGAATTAGAGGCACTAACACTCAATAGAAGTGGAAAAACATAGTTTAATTTGGATCTATGAGATATTTCAAATATTATTTAAAGCCATATTGTAGATGCTTATTTTTATAGCTCTTAGTGATGAGTTGCTCCACTTTGTCCTAATTCTTGGCAAAATACGTTTTCTGTAGTATTTCCATCTGAGTTTCTGACAAAGTGGGGCAGGAGTGATGTTAGCTATTGAAAAAACCTGGACATTTGCTTTCCCCAACTGAAGACTGGATCAGAACATTAAGACTGAGATAGATGTGAAAGCAATGGCAATAATGTTGGGCGTTTTCTTTCTAACTTAATTCTGTGCAGGTGAGGCGTGCTGGTGGACCATCCATCCTGCTTCCAAGCAACGATCGGAAGGAGAAAAAGTGCGTGTTGGAGATGACCTTATTTTAGTCAGCGTCTCTTCAGAAAGATATTTGGTAAGTTCTGAAGAAATATCTCTGTGGTGCTTCCTTCACAGAAAAAATCAGTTAGGTGTTGTACTGAAGCCAGGTTTACATTTTCACCTCCACAAAAGTAGAGCTTAAGGTGTTTGAGCTGGGAGTTGATAGCAGTTTGCAAACCAAGACACCAAGACTGAGAGTCTGGAAAATGTGATAGTGATATGTGACTGATCTAATTTGTGTCCATTTTAATAGTGGAATGTAAGTTGATAAATCTACTAATGAAGAGGAAAATAAAATACAGAAAAAAAGAAATCTGTTCAAATTGCATAATTAAGGTGTTTAGAGCCCCTATGAGTGTTCAGAGGTTAACAGCACTATCATATATATGAATTAAAACTTTATTCCAAAATTTTGAAATGTTTAACTTTCTTACATATCCTTTCTTGGGCTTTAGAAGGTACACATTTTATTAAGATTTTCTACAGTGTAATATATACAGCTACTGATGTCATAATTAAATAAAATTAAAATCATTAAATATAAACATTTTACAACTTTCTGTGGTAGCTGCTCTTTATCACTGGTTTAAATAACTTTCTTCCTCATCGAGATATCTCCCATTTGTTTTGTAATTAAAGTCTTAAACTGAAAAAAGGATCTTTAAAAAGGAACATTTTTTAGCTTTGTCAAGAAGGCTGTCTCAGATCTGCATATAACATTAAAGTTTATTCTGTATTATTCACTGCTATGAAACATTATTTTTGAATGTTTTTTACAGTATTTAGAAAAAGGAGTGAAGAGTTTAATAAGACTTAAAAATATTTCTTTTCTTTTTGATAAATATGAAAATATTCTTGTCACAAATATTCCAAATATATTTGGAAATACATGGAGAAATGAGAATATAATTATTAGAATGTAATTGTAACTTCTAAATTAGGAGCTCAGTAACTCATCTGGTGAGTTATTTTTCATATGTAGGTGTTCCGATCATCTTACATTTAAAAATTATTTTTATTCACAATTTTTATGAGGATTGTAATTAGACTTACTGGAAAGGCAACTTATTCTGGACAAAATTAAATAGAAATCTAATTCTTTAAGAAGTTTCATTTAAAGACATTGCATTTCTTTGAAATTCATTGAATTGTTGAAGTAGAATTTTGCTCCAGATTGGGTCTCTGTGTAGGTGTATGCCTGAACTCATATTTTCTGCCCTCTATTTAGTCAACCAACTCAGCCTTTTCTGTTATTTAGGGTTTGTGCCTCAACTGTTGATTCTTGAGGCTGTCATATGGACACATATATGGATATATATGGACTGTGCAGCAAGAGACATGATGCTGACTGCAGACTGACTTTCCTCAACACATGGTGTTAATGTGTACACTGCGTCTTCCACGCAAATTATCAATATACAAAAAAAAATTTATATTTTCAGTGTAGAGAGAAATGACACAAATCTATGTCTTTGATATTTTAATCTCTTTATTATAGTCTTAAAATTGTTTACAGCTAGGTTTTAATGAATAGTTATTAAACCTATTTCAGTTATTCAGCTCCAGTCTGATAGTAAGAAGGAGCAAAGATTCAGCAAATTAATTTTGCTCTTAGGTGCACTCACCCCAACATTTTTATGAACGGTGTTTTATGAACAGACTAAATTAAGAGCTAGTGAACTACGTAGCTTCGCAGTCATGAAAATATTTGTGGTTTTGCTACCTACTCAGTAGTTATATTAGCACTGTAAATAAAGCAGTGATACTTTTATGAAAATTCAAACAGTTGATAAAGACTGAATTAGTGAGCTATGAAAGAGTGAATATTTTTCATGAAAGCTGTCTCTCCATCTTTATATGTTCATCTGAATACATTAGTCTGTCTACAAAATAATTCAAAGGATATGACTTCTAAAAGAACCACCATGTTTTCATTTTGAGTGCAGTTTCATGCCATAGCCCTGTAGTGGGTTTGCATGACAAGGTTTTGATAGCCTGGGGGCTACGGGGTGGCTTCTGTGAGAAGCTGCCAGAAGCTTCCCCTGTGTCCAATAGAGCCAATGCCGGCTGACTCCAAGATGGACTCTCCATTGTCCAAGGCCAAGCCCATCAGTGATGGTGGTAGTGTCCCTGAGATAACATATTTAGGAAGGGGAAAATAAACTGCTGCACAACAACGGCAACAGAGAGAGGAGTGAGAATGTGTGAGAGAAATAGCCCTGTCAGGAACAAGGTCGGGGAAGAAGGAGGATGAGGAGGTGCTCCAGGCACCGGATCAGAGGCTACTCTGCAACCAGCTTATGGTGAAATCCATGGTGAGGCAGGCTGTTCCTCTGCAGCCCATGGAGGGTAACAGTGGAGTGGATGTCTCTCTGCAGCCCATGAAGGGTAACAGTGGAGCAGATATCCACCTGTATCCCATGAAGGACCCTGTGACAGAGCAGGAGGGTGCCCGAAGGAGGCCGTGACCCCATGGGAAGCCTGTGTTGGAGCAGACTCCTGACAGGACCTGTGGAACCGTGGAAAGAGTAGCCCACTCTGGGGCAGATTTACTGGCAATACTAGTGACCCTGACGAGGGGACTCATGCTGGAGCAGTTTGTGAAGGACTGTAGCCCGTGGGAAGAACTCACATTGGAGAAGGTTGTGGAGGACTGTCACTTGTGAGAGAGACCCCACACTGGAGCAGGGGAAGAGTGTGAAAAACCACATATGTTAGAAAATGAAAAAAGTACGGCACTGATATATTTGATGAAGTCTTTTAAATATACAGTCACAGTGGCTTTTTGTGGAGCTCAGTCTCTGTGCTGGTAGAAGCGTGGTGGATGTGTTAGAGCTGAGTGTCAGTGGGGCCGTGCAGGGAAGCAGCTCTGTAGATGCCATCTCAAGCTGGGATTGGTGGTAGGATGCTTAGTTAATTATTTTCCTGGAGAATTAGATTGTAGATGTTGTGGTCCCAGAGCTGCTTGGTCTTGAGACCCACAGCTGAGGTGAATGAAAGATGTGCTTGAACATTGAAACTGCATGTAATGCAGTGTGCAGTGGGAATTGCGCAGGTCCTTGGTACCTCAACTTGGGCATCCCAAAGTTATGAAAATGTCTTAGTGTGATCTATGGACCTCCACTCCCTGCTGGAAAATGGGCAATAATCCTCTTCCTTTGGAGTCTTGAGAAAATGAATTAATTATCTGCTGTGTTTTGTTGAAATGCTGCAATTGTTGGTAGCAAGAGAAAAGGAAATTAACAATTCTCTCTTCAAAGCTTTGAAGAATTGACTATATTGCATACAGCATGAGACTGAAGACTGAGCAGAAAACAAAGCGCTGAGCAGTGGCTGGTGAACTTCTTTATCCTATTTATACAAGGCAGCACTCGTGAAAGAAACTGTAGAGGATGATGCCATTGTGGACTGCGATATGATGCATTCCTCAGAAGCTGTTCTTTTCCCATAGCCTGCTTTGTTTGATGTTTCCTAACTTTTGATACTTGCTTCTGTAAAATTAATATTCTTTTAATGAAAGCTCTTGTCTCTGATTACCCTAAATGATAATCATGTGGGAGCTGATGTACTTCAGGTTTCTTGTGGTTCGAGCCCAGAAGGAGATCTTATACTAAAAGGGGGGATGCAGGAACCCCCATCCGCCCCTGATGGGATCCCTGGGCTCTCCTGCCAAGCACCTGCACTTGCCTTGGGACTGGATGATCCTCAATGGTACTGATTTTGTAGAGCTTTAAACACATCTGAAACTTTCCGGTGTTTGCCTACTTTGGGTCAAAATTTAGATAAAGACTTTTTGTTCTGCAGTGTAAGTTTGCCCATATTTATTCAAACTTTTTCAAAGTGTTCATGAATGTTTCAGTGAATATTGCCACTTTTAGACATAAACACAAAAAATTATATAGAAACTTTACGAAGATGCGGTTATTACTTCTAGTTCTTAAGTTCTAAGTGGTTATCTTTTTGTTCTAGAGACAGCGCATCTAGTTTAACCTTTGGATTTTTGCTGAAGCTTGCTGATTGGTTCATCATATTTATGGGTGCAAAAAGTTTTTCCTCTCCCTAACCAAAAAAAAAAAGATGTGGGGGCGAGCAGAGTATCAGTAATCCTGATCGCTGTAATACTTTTAAGACAGCTGGGGAGAAAGAGGACATAGTGAGGGCTGTCAGAGTCTCCAGGTACCGCAGAGAAACGGTTTGCACTGGATCCCCTCTGTGGCCTCTATCTCTGTGCCAGCTGATGTTGTCTTGGTTAGTGCCGCTGCTGTGTGTGTTCTGGGATGTGCTCTGACTTGTACGCGGTTCTTAAAGTGTACCAGAAAGTAAACTTTATTATTTTTCTTTTTTTCTTTATTTTTGGAACGGCTTCAGGTTGAAGGCAGAGGCATCCTAATGTAAAGTGCAGACAGAAATAGATTCTGCTGGATCGCTGTCAGATGCTGTGAGGTACATTAGTCAAGAGGAAGCCTGAAGCAAACGTTTTGCTTTCTTTATGTTTTTCTCTGCACACATGCACGTTTTGAAGAACAGAAGCTGATGCAGACTGACTGTGAAATTTAAAACATAACATCAAGTTATTTAGACCTATTGTAAATGCAGCTCTGCTGCTGCAGTTGCTGCTGAAGGATTCTTGTGGCAATTATCAGCTGATGCCCAATCTCTGCAGTGAGCCTGAATATGTGATGTTCTTCATGAAGGCTTAGGAGCAGAGGTGTGGTTGTGCTACTTTTCGGCAAAGCAGTGCAGAATTTATAACATGACTGTGAGTTTGGTTGGGAAACCAGTATTGTGAGAGATCTGAGTCATGAAGTTTATCCGTGAGAAGCTTCCTGCAGGCTGTGGTGTTAACCTGTGCTCATCAAATACCATAATTAATTCTGAAAAGTGATTAAAAACCTATGGTAAGTTAAACACTGGTTTAGAAGATTATTTCTATTAGTAGGGAAGATGAACCTAGCTTTTTGGTTGAGCCTGGGCACCAGTGCAGAAAAGATGTTATTTGGGTGAGACAGAAGGCTAAAGGACCTGCCTATGAAGACGTGCGCCAGGATTAGAATAGGCAGCAGGATTCCTGAACCAAACACGTTTCTGCTCTGCAGATGTTACTGCATACCTGAAAGACATGTAGTACACATATGGTCCTCTCTGATGGTGGCAACCTGCCACTCCTGCTGGGTTCTCTGTCATGCAGAGGTGTGTACAGTAGGTATGGAGGCTACTCAACATCAGTGGGGGTGTCATGTCCATATGCTGGACGTTGTGTTATGGGATTTGTTTCATTTTGATGTTTTTATTGTGCTGAAAGTACAAAAACAAGCAGATAAACTTTGAGTAAGTTATAGACAGGCAGCAGCTTGCTTTAAGAAAACATTGGGATTGTAAAGTGTAGCACAGAAAAGTTAGGCAATGCCAGGATTAAGGCTGGCATCACTAGTCTGTTGGGATTTTTTTCATATGTGGAATGTAATTGAATCCTTGAATTTCCATTGACAGAGTGCTTCCTCTACATGGTCAAAGCTTCATTTGATTGTTTGCTGTGAATGATGTCCAGGGGATGAGCACCACAGCTTCTGACTTGTAGATGCCAGAACTCCTGCCTTAAGTGGTAGATTGAGGGATGCAGCAAGTGGGCCAGGGAAGGGAAGGGGAGGAGAGGAGTGCAGAGCTATGCGTATACTTTTGATTTCTTTGCTGTGGTGGTCATGTGTTGTATTAGGTCATTTAAACAATTCTTTTTAAAGATGTAATTCTTGGGTGACTCAGCTTGAGACATCTGAGTTATAATCAGAGCTGCAAGTGGAGTCAAATGAGTGGATAAAAATAACGGATGCTCTGCAGAGAGATGTCAGCAATGGATCTGTTCAGTGTCCTGACTATAAGATGGAACGCTAATTCAGTTGATACCATTGTGAAAATAAGTTCATTAACATGTACAGAGCGCGCAGTTACAAGAAGTAATCTGGTGATGGCAGATCTGAATGACAGAGTTATCTCTTTTCCTCTTTTGCCCTGAATGATGCGTTTCCCACAAAAAGCAACATTTCTGCTTTGTTGTGCAGGTCGAGTTGCTCCTTGTCGCGAACTGGAATCTGTGCAGTGATCTCAGAGAAAGCCTACTAATATAATTAAGGTCAAAGTGTCTAATTGTGACAGCACTTGGCAAGCTGTTACCTGGCAGGATAAGCAGTTACTTCAAAGCAGCTGCGTATTTATAGAGTGCTCGGTTCTATCATCTTATAATTGTAAAACAACAGGCAACCACTCGGCCAAAGAAGAGAGTCCATTTTATTCTTGGGCGGGAAGTGACCTTTCGGGAAAAAATGGTTTTGGATTTTCTTGCATCATGAGAACTTTGTGCAAGAATCTATTTTGGGAACTCCCTTAGATGCCTTACAAAGTTGATTACTTGATTTCTTTTGATCTGGCAGCAGTTTTAGGAAGGCAGTGGCTCACAAGAAATAATGAAGTGGTAATTTATGCCTGAAATACCAATTTATGTCCCATCTCCATAAAGTGTGCAAACTTTATGGAAACTCTTGTTGTGTGTAGAAGGAAGAG